AGACTTTCTGTTGAAGGTGGAATTTTAGTTGAGACTTGAAGGAAGCCAGGAAAGTAGGGAAATGAGGGAGAGTATTCCAAGCATGGGGTACAGCCAGTGAAAATGCTCAGAATCTGGAGAGGGAGTGTCTTGTGAGAGGAACAGCAAGGCCAGTGTCACTGGATCTAGTTTAGGAAGACTAGAAAGGTAGGAGGGGACCAGGTTGTAAAGAGGATTTCATGTTTAATCCTGGAGGTGATTGGGAGCCATTGGAGTTTATTCAATAGGAGAGCAATGTGGTCAGACTTGCGCTTTAGGAAAATCACTTTGATAAATGGAGGATAGACTGGATCAGGGAGAGACTTGTGGCAGGCTGACCTACCAGCAGGCTATTTGCAATAGTCCAGGCACTAGGTTATAGGGGCCTGCACCAGGGTGGTAGCAGGGCCAGAGATGAGAAAGGCGCATATATACTAGAGATAACTCGATGTTATACAAAGGTAGAATGGACAGGACTTGGCAAGAGATTGGATATGGGGGTAGGGGTGGGGATGGTGAGAGAGCAAGAAGCTAAAGATGAAATCTAGATTTCCAGCCTGGGTGGCTGGGAAGATGGTGCTGCCTTTCAAAGTAATAGGAAAGTTAGGAAGAGGGGAGAGTTTTGGGGAAAAGACAATGAGTTCAGTTTTTAACATGTATTTAAGATGTCTATGGGACATCTAGTTCAAAATATCCAAAAGGCAGTTGGAGCTATGAATCTGGAGGTTAGGGCTGGATAAGTAGATCTGAGAATGATCAGTATAGAGTTGATAATAGAATCCATGGCAGCTTATGAGATCACCAAGCAAAATAGTATAGAAGAAGAGAAAAGCGCTCAGGATAGAGCCTTGGGGGACATCCACCATTAGCAGGTTGTTGTTGTTTGTCCTTCATGTTCTCTCAAAGAGGACTGATGACATCACGAGGGTAATGACTTGCTTGTGAATTGGATTTAGGTGAGGTAGAGCTGTGCAAAGTCGTCAGCCTCACTCTTTCTTCCAGAGTCATCAAAGTCCAGTGGCAAGACAAAGGTCAAGATGACTGGTGATGGCCCACGATCCCCATTAGCAGGTATATCCTGGGTGAAAATCCAGCAAAGGAGACTGGTAGGAGGAAAACTGGGATAGAATAATGTCTTGAAAACCTAAAGAGATGAAAGTATCAAGGAGGAGAGGGTGGCCAACAGTGTCAAAGGCCTCACAGAGGTCTGTAAGGATAAGGATTGAGAAAAGGCAACTAGATCTGGCAACTAAGAGATCATTATTAACTTTGGAGAGAGCATGATGAGGTCAGAAACTTGGCTATAGAGAGTTAAGTAAAGTGAGAGAAAAGGAAGTAGAGGTACCTATTGCAGATATCCTTCTCAAGGATTTTAGCCACAAAAAGGAGGAGAGATATGAGACAATAGCTACTGGGAATGGGTGACTCAAGCAAGAGTTTTTTGAAGATGGGATATACATGGGCATATTTGTATATTTGTAGACAGTGGGGAAGCAGCCAGCAGACAGAGAGAGATAAAAGTTATAACTGAGAGAATTGGGATGATAGAAGGAACACTCTATTGGAGGAGATGGGATGGAATGGGATCTCTTACACATGTAGAGGGGTTTGTCTTGGCAAGAAGGGCCATCTCTTCATGTGAGACAAGAAAATACTGGAGGAAGGCACATGAGTAAAGTGAGATGAGAGGGAAGATGAGCAAGCTTTTGGTGAATGGTCTCAATTTTTTCAGTGAAAAATGAGACAAAGTTCCCAGCTGAGAACTTTGGTGGTGGGGAGAGGGAGCAATGAGAAGTCTGAGAAGGGAAGAAAAGATTTAGAAAAGTACTGTGATGAATAGGGCAGTGTATCCATCAGGAATGTGTAAAAAGATTGCCTTGCCATAGTGAGAGCTCAAGAATATAAATTTGTAGTGGACTTAGCATAGCTTCACAATTTTCTCCAGCTTCATTCAGTATCAGATGAGTAGGAGCAAAGGCAGTGGATGGTGGGAATAATCCAAGGCTGAGGTTTGGCAGGGCAAAATCTTGGTGGGATAAGGGAGCAAAGGACTCAAGAGAAGAAGATTGTGTAAAGTTCAACTGGCTCATCTAGGGATCAAGATGGAGAAGGGAGGAAAGTGTAGCCAGTGTAGAAGTAATAACCTGGGAAAGAACTTAGGGGTCTAGGTATTAGAAGTCACAGTGAAGATGGAAATAAGGATTTGGGGTTGCAAGGCAGAGTGAGAAGGAATGACAGCAGATTGGGATTAGATGAGGGAATTTCAGAATTCTTGAATGTGGAAGTGGTACATTTGGGGTGATGGCAACACCATAATTATGACCATCTCTGTGGTAGGGTGAAAAATGAGTAAGTTGAAGGACTGGGAGATTTGAGGGAGTTTGAAGGAGTACCAGTGTGTATACTGAGGTCCCTTAGAATGAGAGCAGAAGTTAGGGAGGAGAGAAAGACTCTGAGCCAGGCACTGAACTCATTGAAGAAAGAAGGGATGTGAATCTGAGTAGGCAGATAACAGCTAACAGAATCTTTATGGGGTTGTAAATATGATTGAGTGAACCTCAAAGGAGGAGAGCTTACTGTGTGATGGTGATAAGGAAAAGCCTGGAAATGGCAATGAGGAACAAGGAGTAATCCAACTCTCTCACCTCAACTAGTGAGTTGGGGGAATGAGTGTAAGTTCAACTAGTGTTGAAAAGGTTGTCCAAGGAGGCTGTATCGTCAGGAGGGAGCCAGGTCTTGGTGAGTGAAGAAGATAGAAGGAGTAGAAAAGGAAAAATTTTAAATGAAAGTAACTTTGGAATTGATTGGGAGACATGGGAGACATTGTCCCAGAACTGCCCAGCATGGCGTGCCCGCATCAAAGAAGGCACTGTGTTCTGTGAGTAAAGCAGAATTGCAGTTGCTCAAATGAAGCATGATATGCAAATTTAGAGACATTTCCACTTCAAATGTTCATAAGAACTATTTGTGCCCAATCTGTGGTCAAGCCTTCTGAGCTTGTACTGGTCTAATCAGGCACAGTGGGACACACTGTACCTTGACCTCAACATGGTGATGTCATTTTGGTCCTCTTTGAGAACAAAGGACACTAACCAACCAACTGTGGAAACCTCCTCTACTTCTTCTACACAACCAAAGTTACCGGTTTTCCCTTCTTGGTGGGTTAGGGTACCTTTGTCCCATTTATCTCCTCCCTCCCCTAATGTGTAAGCAGTGTTCATTCTGCTTAGTCATCATCTTCCACTGAGTCTTGGACTGTGGGGAGTGGTTATAAGGGTATGAACTCAAACATCCTTTCCATTTGCTTTTCCCTTTCTTCTACACCTCCTGCTTGGCTCCAAGCCATTCAAATGACCCCCAAACTGCTTTTACAAAGATCTCCAAAAGAGGGGGGGAAGGGGAAAGGTCTACAAATGCTTCTAGTACCTGCATTTGTGACTTAGAGGAAAAGGGATACAACTCAGGCAATATGGCAAAGATTCATTGTCCTAGGATATCAGCTAGAAGAATGGGGAGCAGCATGAGTACCCTGTAAAGTACTGAGTTTTGAATTTTTAAATTGAATTTTAAACCTTGAATTTTTACCTTTTACTTGAGTTTTACCAGAGGAGGCAGTAGCAGCATGTGGCTATAAAGCAATCAGTTTGGGAAGTATGGGGGAAGATGCAAGCCTCTTAGGACACTTTCTACTTAGATGATGCCCAAGGGTAACTTCTAGAGGTAGAAAATATTGATAGGTGAACACCATGACTCCCTTCTTCCCTCCAAGCTCTGTACAATGAGGAAGCTGTACAGGATGGTCTTCAGGCTTCTTTCCAGCTCTGATGTTTTGTGATTAGTGTGATGAAGGTCTCTTCCAAACTTCTTGGGATTTTACCAAGTGTGCTTTACCTGAGGTTGAGGCTAAGCCTTTAGAAGTTCTGCCCAGTAGAATCATGGGAATTTCTTTGGCCTGCTTTGTGGAGGTTGTAGCACCTCCTTTCCCCCATGATGAGAAAGCAAAATTCTATTTCTACTTCTACCCATAAATATACATTCTGGTGAACAAAATACTTGCCACATTTTCTTACAAAGACATGCCTGGGTAATTGAGGCATGGACTAATCTAAAATCAATCTAGTGAGAGGAGGCCTTAGTGAGATAAGTTACATTTTGTCTAATGGAAAGAGGATTTGGAGCTAGAAGAATTGGATTCAAACCCCAAATCCACAACTTACTAGGTATGTTACTTTGGGCAGGTAATCTCTCTTCTTAAAACTTCAGTCTCCTTATCTGAAAAATGAGAATAATAACACAATCTACCTCATTCATTCAACAAACATTAAGCATCTGTTATGTTCAGGATCCTGGGGAACTGAGATAAAGAATGGCAGTCTGTGATGTCAAAGAGCTTACCATCTAAAGGGAGATTGATTGTGAGGACAAATGAGAGCATGTCTGTGAAGTGTTATAAAAATTGGACCTCTTATCAGAATCATAACTTAAGGCAGTACAGTGAGAGTTTTACTCCTTGGCTCTGAAATTTTGAAGGTACAGACAGCATCATCCCAAGGCTTCCTCCCTCCCTTTCCTTTCCTGAGAAGCTCCACCTCATCTGGCCCTACTCTTGGTAGCCTTAGGGAAAGGCACTTGGACTCTCTCCTGGACCCTAGTCCTTATATCTTCCCCCTTTCTCCCCAGCATGGATAAATACATTTCAGTGGCATAGAAACATCAGCCCATTCTAGGAACTACTTCTTCCCCGTGCTTGGACCACCCCAATTCCATCCCATCACTGCCATAGCCCAATCCTAGTGCAAACAATTCTGAATTATCCCCTCCTTGTTCTTATCACTCTCTACCTGACATAATCATTGTGAGGAAAATGCTTTGTCAAAATCAAAGCATTATGGGAAAGAGTTATTCTTATCATGTAACGTTATCCCTGAATCTAGAAAACCCAAGTACCCACCAAAAAGAAAACAAAAGAGGAATCCAAGTGATAATCTATACAAATCATATTTTAATGTCAACTTGTACAGAAACAAGCTGTGTTCATCAGTTTGGTGGAGTCACAGGAAAGGGGGAGAAATTGTACTAATAGCTCATCTGAAACCATTGGACTTCAACAGGGACAGGAAGTTTTGCTATTTGGGTCCTGTGGGAACTCCAGTTTCTGCACCTTCCCTGGCTGCTTCTCCAGATCTCGGTACAGCAGTGATTTCTGAGCCTTCAAACGGCAGGCCAAGGACATGAAAATCGACTCCACATTTTGGCTCTCTTTGGGGTCCTTGGCTGATGTTTCAAACAAGAGCATGTTGTGAGCATCGGCAAATTTCAAAGCCAGGCTAGAGGGTACCTGGATCTGTCCCCTCAAGTCACACTTGTTGCCCACAAGCACCCTGGGGACAAGTGGGGAGACAGCGTGCCCATTGCATTCTTGGATCCACATCTTCAGGTTGATAAAGGAAGTCATTTTGGTGACATCATAGACAAAGACCACAGCATGCACATTTCGGTAGTAATGTTCCACCATGCTCTTGCGGAACCGTTCTTGGCCTGCAGTATCCCACACCTGTACCTGCAAGATAGGAGAATCGGGATCTCTACTCAGAAGGGGAAGACACACAGACAGAAGAGGGAACACGGCCAGTGGACATTGCGAACAGAGAAGAAGTTAGACAGTTATTGCCACCTTACAGAAAGTGGCCTGTTTTCAAATCAGCAGATGTGGCTTGCCAAAGTACAGATGAAAGCTTAATTTGGGGCTTGACAAAATTCATTTAAAAGCAGTTTTACTGAGGTAAATGAAATCAATAAAATAATTCCCCACTTTTTAAAAGCTCCTTGAAAGTGTTTTGGGTTCATTTAATGGATAAGTAAAGCTTAATCTCCCTAGATGTTTCTATTGGTCCCTCTCCCTCCCTCTCCCCCACTTTAATAAATCTAACTGTACATTACTCGTATGACAGAGGATTTCCCCCCATGTCTTGTCATTTCTTCCTTCGAAATGATTCACCTCTGCCCAGAGAGATTAGTCAGGTGACCTGCCCTGTGTCACAAAGCTAGGAAGTGGCAGAAGCCAGGATTCAAACCTAGCACCTGACTCCAAATCCAGGCTTCCTTCTACTTCCCGATGCGGCCTCTACTTACTAATATGGGGAAGTAGATTTTGACATTAGCAACAAGATTCTCATCAATGACTGAGAGCTTTTTCTGAATCTTTTCCTTCAAGACTCAGATCAAATCCCATCTACTCAAGGAAGACTTTGTTGGTCCCCCCTTCCTGCCCTCCCCGCCCCCTCCCCAGCTCCCCAGTTGGTAGTGGCTTCCCCTCTCAGAGTGCCATTCATCTCCAGTATGTAAGTTTTATCTACCTAATTGTTTCTATGTTGTCTCCTCCATTACAGTATAAGCTCCTGGTGGGGAAGGATTCTTTTTGCATTTCTTTGTATCCCCAGTACGGCAAAGTGCCTAGTATATAGTAATCACTTCATAAATACTTGTTGAAGAAACAAGCCAGGCTCCAAAGAAGAGGTATGAGAAGACACCTCCCCCCTTTGTAAGGTAGGTGGTCCATAGAATGGCAGATTTTTTTAAAAGTATTGATGGGTTTTACTGGATTCATTTTCATGTTTTTTTAAATTATTTGTTATAAGATTCTATGGAAGGGGAAGGGGGCAAATTTAGGTGATTGCAGAAACAAGATATCAATAAGATTTATTTTTAAAAAATGATTGTTACCTTACTGTTGGTTAACTAGAAAATGAAATTACCTTAGAACTTCCTCTCTCCCACCTGCTAAACTTTCCCTGGGGATATCAGTTCACCAAAGTTTCCTTCTATTTTACTTTAAAATCACCTTAAGGTGGATATGGAAATAACAAGATGCAGGAAATGGCTGAAGGTACATGAGTGCTTACTCTAGATTGGGAGCTCCAGGAGGGCAGGAACCAAGTCCCTTCCCCTCTCTGGGCCTCAGTTTCGTCTTCTGTAAAATGAGAGGGCTGGACTCAATGATTTCTAAGGTCCCTTTCTGCTCTGACATTTTTGCTTCCTAGAAGCCTGTTACTGGGCTAAATACATACAGAAAAATACCAATTAGTTGGATGGATGGATGGATGGATGGACAGATGGACAGTCCGTAAGACACCCCTCAAAAGTATCTTTTTCTCTTTTTCTTGACTCCCTGACTTAAGCTTGTTTTTTCCTTTTTCTCCTAAAAACTGAGAGCTGTGGGACAGGTTCATTGAGGGCACTGGTTAATCTGGGTTCTATTCTATGAAGAAATTGTGATTCTGTGGATAGGGCCTCAGAAGGATTTTGTTCCTTAGCAATGGTCTCTGAAAATTAGATCCCTCCCTCTAGGGAGGGGAGCAAAGGAAGAATCCCCAGCCATCCAGAAATCTGTATGGGAAAGGGTGAACAAATAAAAGAGTACATTTGTCTGAAAATGCCCTTGGCCGGGTGGAGGAGGTATGGATCAACCCAATTCTTCTGAATGTGTGCTGGACACGCATGAGCCAGAAAAGGGTGTGGGTTCAAAGGAGGAGAAAACAAGAGGGAAGGGGAAACAAGAGGAAAACCATTCCATGAAACTGACAAATCAGTAGCCCTACTCAGGGTCTAGAAATATTCCACTGAATGACTTCTCATGTTTACCTGGTACATATTAAATGTTTAAATAAATGCTTTTTTTGACATTTACATACATAGAGGATGTATTGCTGGGAATACACAGATGTGAACCACTTAAAGCAAATCTGCTATATGAAAATCAGTGTTTAGTAAACACCTAAATTAAGCAGTGATCATTTACTTTCCAAAAGGATTGGTAAATTCCCAGCTTTCCTGCTAAATATGCAGTAGAGTGGAGAGAGTTTAAGATTCAGAATCAGAAGACCTGCCTTTGAACTCTGGCTTTGCTATTTACTTCCTATAGGAGCTAAGAGAAATTATCTTTCTTCTCTGGATTCGGAGCCTCCCCATCTGTAAAATACAGGGTTTGGATTTGGGACCCCTCCACCTCTGGGTCAGCCCTGTGATCCAAGTATGACCTCATACCTGGTACAGAAACACCCTCCCTCTCTAGCATCCCTGAAGGTTTCTGCTTGAATATTCCATGACCCTTAGAGATCACCTAGCACCTAGCAGCACCCAACAGGTGCTTAATAAACACATGGTTAATGGCCACGAGTCCAGTGCAAATATCCCTGGGGAGGCTGTCCTGCCTCTGTAGTTGATTTGCTTATGACAGCAGAGGAAAGACTGGGGCCTCTTCCCAGTGGAAGGCCCCATCCACCCCCTCAGCAGTAGGAAAGGCCAAGGGAAGCCCAAATCGGGCTGGGGAGCAGGAAGAGGTTAGCAGGTACAATTCTCAAGTAGAAATCTATGACTGTTACTTTTTATACTTCAGGAGGCTGAATCCCAAAAAGCGTGAAGGTATAAAGCAGATACATTAACAACAAAGCTCTAAAAATACTGGCAGGGGTGGTAAGGGGGGTGGTGTGGAAAGGGAGTGGAAGAAGTATTTGGTTTCCTCATTGTGATACTCTAATTGAGTCAGGATAGGAGGGTGCCCCTCTCTTTCTGGAAGCCTGCTTTGCTACTTCCAAAATCATTGGACCCCTCTTGGGGTAGCAGACAGAGAACACTAGTTTGGGATTCACCAGACCTGAGTTCTAGTCTCACTTCTTATACTGACTAGCCATGATTAAAGACCAAGCAGTATCACTTCCAGGCCTCAGTTTCCTGCTCTGTAAAATGGATAATATCCATTGGATTAGATGCCAAGTGACTTCACCTCTCTGTGCCTCAGTTTCCTCATCTGCTAAAGCTGTATAACAATATTTGCCCTACCTACCTCACAGAGCTGTGGCATGGAAATGGTTTTCCTGGTTCAAAGTGTTATAGATATGCAAGTCATTGTTATTGTTGTTTGTAAGTCCATAACTCCAACTCAGACCCTGCCTTGACCCCCAGTTACTTGTAACACCCTGATCCATATAGACAGACATATATATATAAAAGCACCTGACTAGGAGGCAAGCAGCTGAGGGCATAAAGAGTATTACATTTCTCTCCACATTTGAAAGTGGAAGGGAATAAACATTGATTGAGTGCCAATTGTGTGACTGAAAGCCATATGAAACAGTATCATCTAGTCTCTCCCCTCCCCAGTAAACCCATCTCTGCCCCCCACATTTATTCCTTCAAACAGCCTAGTGAGATCAGAAGTTTATATCCAGATAGGGGAAACTGATTTGCCCAAGGCCACCTGCTTGAGGGAGCCAGGATTGAAGCCTGGTGGTTTGAGGAGGGCAGCTCCAGGGCCCCAGGCTCGCCCTTTACCCAGGATGAGGAAGCTTGCCCTGAGCCAACTGGACCCATCCCTAGAAGGCTGGGCCATCCCTTATCCCTTCCCTGCTTGGCAAAGAGCAACAGGAGAACTTTGCTTTCTAGCTTTCTCCCTGGGGGGAGCCTTTGGATAATGTCCTGGTATCCTGAGGGGCTTGGTTCAGTCCTTGGAAATTATCTTCCAGGCCAGGCTAAGATGCCCCTTTCTTTCCACAGCTTTTCAACAAACACTTATTAAGCACCAGCTGTGTATAGAACCCTGTGCTGGGCACCGAGGGCTATACAAGTTTAGGTGAAGATCCAGTCCCTGTCCTCACAGTCTAGCACACTAACTAGAAAGCCTAATGTTACATGAGAGGGGAGGGGGAGTGTAAAGTGTGCTAGATTCGAAGTTAAAGGTCCTGGGTTTGAATCCCTAGCTCTGTCATTACCTGTACAACTTGGGGTCCTCAGTGGCCCTATCTGTAAAATGAGCCAGTTAGACTAAACAACGTCTAAGGGCCCTTCCAACTCTAAATCTAGGGACTGGTTTTTTGTATCTTCACATCCACAGTGTCTAGCCCAGGGCCTGGCATATAATCAGACATTTAATAAATGCTTGTTGAGTCAAAATGACCATCACCAGCCCCCAAATCTCTCTCTCCTCCTGCTGCTGCCGGCAACTGTTTCTCTTCATTCTTCATTTTGTCCAGGCTGTAGGAAATGTGAAATGTATTAGATTCACTGGTGTAAACAAGACTTCTCTTTCAAAAATACAGATAGTTTCTGGAGAATTACAGGACCATCAGTCATACTTACCTAAGTATAAATCAGGCCCTTTTCCTCCTAACACTGCTGAGATCTGCTTTCCCTCAGATAACAGCAGTTCTGATTAAGGGCAGGGGCTGGGGAAGAAAAGGAGACAATTGCTCCAGGAGCCCTAGAAGACCTAGACCAGGAGTATAGGCAGTAGTGGCTTCTCCTTCAAAGGAAACTAAAGGCTTAGAGAGAAGAGACTTATCCAGGGTCACCCAGCTGTTAAGGTTCAACCTAAACCTTCTAAAGCCAAGTCCAGTTCACCTTCCACTAACTGAGAAGCATGAGAGCTAAGGCAGGACTAGGAGGGAGGGTGCTCCAATGGGCAGCATGAGGTCACTGGGAGGTTCAATGGGGCCATAGAAAGGGGAGGGAGAAAATGAGAGCAGCCAAATGCTAATGTCACTTAGTTCCAAATTTTGCCCAGGG